GGGGGGGGGGGGGCGTTTATTTGAGAGAGGGGGTCTTTCAGATTATTTGAGGTATTTACACACAACGTCTCACTAAATAGTTTAACATGTTTAAAATATCCCTCAGGTAGCTCTTCCTCAGATCTGAATATAAATATGAACATATAATAAAGTAAGGTTGCTTCAAATAATGACCTTTATGGATTATCCGTTCTCTTTGTAGCAATCAGAACGTCACAGACTTAACGATCGTGCTCGCATTTATGTCCGAGGAGGGACTGGGGGTCAGGGATCGCCTTACTTTGGAGGCATGGGTGGGGATGGTGGCGACGTTGTTGTACAGTGTTCCCCGAACGCCACGCTGCGTCACTTCTCTGTTAAGGAAAATCGCCGTATTTTAGCCGAACATGGCACATACTTTTCGTAAGTAAACCTTTGCATACGTGTTTCGCATTTATTCATTCATTCATTCATCCATTCATTTTTATTTTATTATTATTAATCATCACACTTACGAGCATTATTTACCCAAAACGTTTAATTGCACTTCACCACTGCTTCGTTACAAATAAACTTGTATTTGGTGGCTTATGAACTTGTATTCACTCATTTGTATAAAATCATTATGTGGAAGCATTGAAAGCGCTAGCACTAGAAAACACTGTCCTCGCTCTTATCGCCGCTAGCGAGAGAGACATCTCTCTCCCGTATGTCCTGTAACTGCTAAAATTACCTAATTTGTCACAAGTCAGAACTTAAACACTGCTTTTCACACAGGCTGTTTAATGACCTTGGCTTTTTCCAATGTTTTCAAGGGGTAAAAAAGGTAAAAAGCAGAAAGGGACTCGTGGTCGCGACACAGTCATCATAGTCCCTGTTGGTACAACTGTGTATACAGATGACGGTCAAATTGTAAGAGAAATGGATGAGCTGGGCTCCAGACTTTTGGTTGCTAGAGGTGGCCGCGGTGGGTCACCAGCCACGGAAGACTGGCGCGGAGAGAAGGGCGAACGGTTCATGATAATACTGGAATCTAGGCTGATGGCTGATGTTGCTCTTGTGGGGTGAGATTAAGATACAAAGGAATCTCTATTTAACGAGGTGCAAAGGCCAGTGAATTGGGAAATCTGCTCGTTAAATCGAGGGTTCGTTATATCGAACACCTCCATTTAACGAAAGTTCGGGCAAACTAGCAAAATGTTCGTTATATCGAGGTATGGTTAATGATAAATTTTAAAAAACCCAGCATTTCCGGAACTAAAATCAGTATCAAGTTATGCATAGCTACTGCTCTAGAAACACTTACCACGTCTTCGACATTAAATAAATCATTCAAACTCAAGAAAAAGCAAACAAAACGGCTGAAAACTACTGTACACATAAGTTTTATCCTTGTTGGGCTGTCTGGCATTCATCTTTTATCACATGAGTGATGCTGACATTTATTTGTTATATCGAGGTAAATTTTACGTTTGCCCTTGTGGATTGTGTTCGTTATAACGAGGTTCTGTTCCATACATTTTACTATAATTTGGCCGGGCTGAAAAAAATCGTTCATTATACCTGGGATTTCGTTATATAGAGGTTCGTTAAATCAAGGTTCCACTGTATCTTACTTTTATTTAGCCTGTGCCACAGACGGAACTAAACTTTTTAGTTCAGTCCGTCTGAGAAACAACGCTGAAATCCTTGTCCTTGGTCCTTACCTGTCTACCAGAAGTTACCTACGCGCCATGATTGGCATGTTCAAAAACCATTGTCAGTTTGCCAATCAGGTTGAAGGTGGATTCGAAACGCATTTCCGGTAATTCGTCGAGTCCCTTGGGGACCCAGAACAAGGATATCGCGCTTCCTCTGAGACGTCACTAACCTGGTTTAGTATCCGGGACTTACGTCTTCGACGCAGGTTAACATCTATTAAAAGCGCATGGAGGCTGAGAACGAATATCAATTTTTGTTTCTTTTTTGCAGTTTTCCCAACGCCGGAAAATCGAGTCTACTTCGTGCTATCAGTAATGCAACCCCAAAGGCAGCTGATTATGCCTGTAAGTTATG